TTACTCTTAAATAAGTTACTCTATTAAAGTCTAATAGACTTTTTCTTAAGCTAAAGTCTAGTCTATTTAATTAATTAAGACTTTTAAAAAAATAAATTAAATTTATTACTTAAATAGGTCAAACTAATCTAAGCTTTGAAAAAGTCAAGTAGTTTAGTCAAATGACTTACCTATTTCTATTCCTATTAACATGTGATTTTGAGTTCAAATCTCATTTATGTGATTAAATTTTTACATGAAGAGTTTTAATTTAATTAAAATATATTGGATATGTATTTTATATGTAAATATATTAATATTTAAATTATAAAAATTGAAAGGTTAAACTAAAAAATAAGAAAATATAATTAAACTGAGCTTTTATTAAAAAATTCAAATACTATTTAATTGAATGTTTATGATTTTAAAAAAAATATTTGTATACAACGAACTTGGATGATGATATAATAATAATAGTGTTCATAATGTATGTAAATACATTTTTTTAATTAAACTAATTTTGTTTTAATTTTATAAACATGGCCTAACTTGGAATAAATTGTTTGGTTGGAGCCACATTAAAAGCAATTGTTGTGTTTAGGTAATTTAACTGAAATTACATAAATGTAACTCGTTCATGTCTAGAATTTAGATAAAAAATAGTGTAAATATATGAATTTTATTGCCTTCAAAAGTCTATTGGAGATTTTTTTTTATAGATAGACATAATAGATTTGCTCGTGGGCTTTATGTCATCTAACAAACATAGAAGTATTGAAAAATAAATTTATTTTGGTAAAGAAGGTTAATGATTCCATAATCATAGTAAAGATGATAAATAGAAAGAATTTACAAAGAGCTCATTTTGACTATTTACTTGTCACTTAGAGGTGTGGTGGTAAAAACATAAATAATCCAATTTTTTTTTTCAAGCAACATGACTAATTGATCTAGAGTTTTCTATCATTGTCGCAAAATCTTAAAAAAAAAAAAGTAAAAATACAACTGTAAGGTCTTTTGTGCACATGAAATAGGAATGATGAATTTTAACAAATAAAGGTTTAACAATATATATATGAGGCAAGATCTTTTTATATTAGTGTAAGTTTAAAAGTTCTTATACTTGATTTAAACCTTTCATTTAACTCACATTTAATGGATTATAATTTATTACTTCACTAAAAAATAAAATACTAAGATTGAGTTTAAGAGTTTTTAAACTTATACTAGTATGAGAAGATCTTTCTCTATATATATACTGAGACAAGATTAGCAAAAAGGTCTAAGTTGAACTTTATTTTCACAATTTTTTAAAAAGTCTTGAGAGGTTGGAGGTTGAATTATATTTAGAAAACGGTTCTTAGTGCACATATGGGAAGAAATATAAATTAACAATCTATAATTATTTGAAGAGTCTATTTTCTTCAGAAAAAGAAAATATTGAGTAAGTTCCTTTAAAATAGGTTTCTTTATGAAATACCTTACATCGTTTCTTAGATGAAAAAAAATTAGTAACAACTATAAGAGTTAAGAAATAAAAATTACAAAATCTTTAAGAAGTATAAAGAAATATCATAACAAATTTCAACCATTATTTATAAGAAGTTTTAGAACTGAGGGACAATGACCTTTTTAAATTTGTGACAAGTGCTTTCTAGTTTACTAACTTTGACTTCCTTATTCTTATTCTTAAGGTTGATTATCCTCCCAATCTAAAAGAGTTTAGGCTCATTATATTATCCAATATAATTTACAAAGTAAGTATGGTATGAATGTTCTAGTTAATAGTGACCTTTTTTTGATTATTTGATTAGTCCTTTCTAAATAATTTTTTGCATGTAATGAGTACAACTTGATAAATGCATTGATCTTTCAAGAAATACTTCACACCATGCGCAAAAGTAAAGAGTTAACATGTTTGTTGATTTTTAAGATTATCTTTGAAAAACTTATGATAAATTGAGTTAAAAGTTCTAAGAGGAAGCAACCTTGTTTAGCATTTCATATTTCACCATTAAATTTGTTATGTTTTTTAATTATTTTTTTTTGCAAATTTTTGAATGGAATGGTTCCACACTAGAGAGTTTTTATCTCTCCTTTGAGCTAATAAAGTTGCATGCAATTTTAATATATTAGCCACAACCTAAAATTTAGAGGAATCAATCAATTTCAATAATTATTACAAGAAAAAAAATGTGTGTTCACAATTAAAGCTTGAATTTTTTTTTAACTTCTAGACTTTAATCTCTCATTTTAGGAGGTGTTTTGTGTATATAATTTATTTTAGTTCCAAGAAATTATATTTCTTGAGAATTATGTTTCTATAAATTATGTTACGAAGCATTCTTTTCTCACAATATTACTAGACTATGATCTTAAAACGGATCAACCTTCCTTTAATTCTCTTCAATTTTGTCTTTTGAAAATAATTAGTACGGGTCTACTAAATCTTTAATTTAATGAAATAATAGAATGATACATAAAACATTATCTAATACAATATACATCAATTAATAATAATTTATGAGTTATACTGACAAATTTTACAACAAATCAAATACTAAGTTAATCACATTTGCAATAATCCATAACATACATTTTTACACTGAGCGGTATGTCATAATACATGTATTATATTACATCAATTAATATATAATAATATATGTGTCATAATCATACTCATCACTATTACAACACTTATATCATAACCACACCAATCAATATGCTACAACATATATATTATAATCGGATCACTATATTATATTGCATCCACCATAATTCCACAATAATTATTCTTAGGATCCCTTGAGGTCTTCCATAAGTATAAATAGTGTTGGCTAGCACTGCGAAACACAAATACAATGTGTATCAATCTAGCTCCTTTTAATAAAAGCATTGTCAAGAAATGAGTGTGTAGCCTATAGTGCTTTTAATCTCATTGCAATCAAAGAAAGCATCCACCACTCTCACTTCCTTTAGATTTCTAAAATCGCCTCTTTCTTTCACTCCACACCTCTAGTGTATTTTTGTAACTATCTATACATATTCTCAGCATTTTTCATAACACTCACTTTCTCAGCATTTCTCATGACACTTTGATAGCAAATCAACTTAAATTTCTCATTCACACCTATTTACATCAATTCTCTTATTCATCTTTTTACACTAATAAAATATTTTATCATCTAAGGGCATTCAAACACTTTTCATAATAACATGAAGTCACCAATTTCAAGTACATAAACTATCAGACAAAAATCCATACTCATTGTAATATATCATTTTAATACAGATATTTCATTCATAAATTTAACATAATACAAATCAATACAATGTGTCAAAGATCGGACACATTGGACTCAAATCAGTCATACAATATAAAAATACATTACTAGAGATCACACTCTTTTGGCCTTAATAAAATCTTATAACCTAAAGTTTAACATCTTTTAACACATATTATTCTGAATAACCATTCAACATTTATTGCACATACATAACAATAATAAAAACATGAAAATTTCTTAGAAACTGGTCTTTACTCATATCATTTTCTATAAAAATCTTATCTATTTTCTAAAATAAATTATCAGTTTTTCATGTTCAAAAGCCCATTCTTAACATTGGTTTTAAGAAACATTAGGGTTTTATAAATTTTAATGAGAAAAATTAGAATTCTTAAACCAAAACACATAAATAGAAGTTAAGATTCGGAATCAACTCCTCTTACCTGAAAATAGACCTCTGAGACTACGTTGTTTGCGAGATCTAGAGAGAAACACAATGTTATGACAAAAGATACCACCCAAGGGCTAAGATTTTTTTTCTAGATATCACAAAAGAGAGCACTTTTAAGAAGAGAGAAAACATAGTAATAGAACAGAGTTTGGAGAACTAAGTTATGAAAAACTTACTTGAAGTCAATATGAACGAACGTCCAAGTCTGGATTCAAGGAAGGATCGAGGATTAGGGGAGGTTTCTCTAAGAAAAAGGAGACGAGAGATAAGAGAGAAAGTGAGAGAAATAATAATTTGAATTGTAATGCAAGTTTTAGATTATAACACTCTTTAAATACCTTCAAACTCGCGACTTTCTCACTATAGCGAAAAAAATCATACAATAATTTTCTATGTTATTTGTCTTTCTAGCTGCAACAAGAATCTCTTATTACAGGGAAAATATTGGTGGGTCATCATTGTCTATTTCTCTCGCTAGAGGGAAACTCTCTCCTTACAATGAGAATGCTTTAGAGATGCTGAATGATCTGTCTTATTACAGCAAAAAATCTTACACTAATTTTTTTTTTCTTTTTAAAAAATAAAAAAAATAAATTTAAAAGTGTTACAGTTAACATTTTCAACTCAACATTCTTAAAAACTTAAAAGAATTCTCTTGTAAAGTGTCTTTTTACATTAATATATTAGTATAAGAGGAAATTTAGTTAAATTTCAATAATCATGAAAAAAATTTTTATTCTTTAATAAAATTAGCTAATATTTAATATTATAAAAGGTCTAATATAAATAAAAAATAAATTATATTAAACAAATGAAAATTACTTATTTCAAAAGTTGACTTCACTCTAATTATTTTGTCAAATACTTTAACTTTATTTTTTTTAATGATTTATATGTTTAACTTAACGTGGATCAAAGGATGAGAACAATTCTAATCAAGGTCTAATGTTTTAAAATACAAATGTAAGAGCTGAATTAAAAATTTTAAAATACTATAAATATTTTATGTAACATATTTTTATTAATTAAAATTTATAAAAATTATAAACAATTTATTTTTAGTTTAATGATTCTTGTTTTGTTTTTAATATTTTAAATAAATTTTAATTAATGATTAAAATATGCTTAGAAAATATATAATTTTTTTTCAAGTTATGGAATGAATGTAATCAAATACAAATTTAATTTAACTATTTTCTTTTTTATTTTCCAATGTAATCTAAATTAAATTTTCGCAAAAATGTTGACACGATATATTTAGTTTTCCTTTTTCTTTTGCAATCTCTTTCTTTTCTCTTTCTACCTAATTTCTCTCTCTCTCTCTCTCTCTCCTGTCTTTGTCTTGATTCTGATGCGAATGGTTATTGCAGAAACCCCAACCCTCGCTCAATCACCCTCCTCCTAGATCGAGTCAGGTTCTTTTCGTGTTTCATTCTCATTCCCTTTTCTGAATTTTGCTTTTACATTTATTCATTATGATACACACAAAATATTGGATTTTTTTTGTTTGTTTACCCCCAATTTCCTCTTGAATTTTATGATTGTTTTGAGGTTGTTGGGTTTTCTCGTTTCGTTGCAAATTCTCAACCTGATCCCAGGTTTTCTACAATTTGGGGATTGATTAGCAAATATCTCATTGATGGGTGGGTAGATTTTATGTTGGGGAGAAATGGATTGTCTCAATTTCGTTTTTACCTGTGGGGATTGGATGGGAAATGGTTGTAAAGTTGTTTTTCAATTTTAGGATTGGCAATTCTCTATGAAAAATGCAAATTCATATGTACTGACTCTGATTGCTGCAATTGATTTAGTGGTTGCAAATTTGAAAAAATTACCTTTTCCTTTTGGTTGTGTAAAGTCCTTTGCTGGGAAATGAGTTGTGGGATGACCTTCACTAGGTTCAGGTTTTTCTATTTTGAAACCTTTTGACTTGTTTTTGGTAGCATTTTAATTGATCCCTTGTTCGTTCTTTCTCAGGCAGGGTATCCTATTTCATCTGGAGACCTGAGATGGTAAATCGGTAACAGAATGATGGTGGCATTTTAAGCTGATTTATAGACTTTGCCCTCTGGTTCCATTGGATTTTGAACCATTTTTATGATGGGCAAAGCGCGGCAATAATTAAAGTCAGATGAAAATCAAGGAGATTTTTGTTGGCAAAGAGGCTGAAGTTATTTCAAATGGCTTTGAAGTTTATAGCAATTTCGGCGGTTTCTACTGTGTTAAGCTTTGTGGGTTTGCAGTTTTTCACAGACTTGTCTTTGGATAAACTGAAATCAGATGGACTTATAGGATGGAATTTAATTCACTTGGACAATGACAACCATGACATTGAAGTGTCTTTAGATCTTTACACCTCCATAGGGCTACTGGTTAATTGCATGATCAATGTATTTATCCTTATCAATCTTTGTCTCAAGGTGAGTTTGATGTTTTGAGCTGGAGTTACTATTTTAAGAATTCATGGGTTATACCTATGTATGATGTTGATCTGGTGGCCAGTATGTTCAATACTTCTGGCATCAAATGTATACAATAGTAGAGTTTAATATAGCTGCATTCTGAACTTTATTTAAAGAGATTCTCCTGCTTCAGTATAAACCAGGATAGAGAGTAAGATAAGTAGCTCTGAACTAGGATGGCCAGGTGATTTAGTGCAATTTGCTGTTTTTCTTTTTCTTTTTTTCTATTTTTGGCTAGTGGTTTGCTACAAGAATAATATAATATAGTTCCTGAAAATTGTGATGGTCAATTATCATCAATTGTTTTTACTGCCTAGTATTAACACGCTTTTTATTAGAAACAGGGTGTTGGGGGTGGGGTAACAGTAATGCTTTACAAATTGTTCAATTTATGCTTCTTATGCTCTTCTTTTCCTTCTAAGTAAATCTTGTAGCCTAGGGTGTCCATGGTTTTGTCCATGATTGTATAGATCATGTTAATTTCTTTTATCAGTTAATATAATTCTTACTGTTTATGGCCCTCTTATCACTTGCAGGCTGTGTTCTTCACAGAGTTGTATCCTTCAGAAACTCGTAAGCTGATTGAACGTCTCATTAATTATGTTATTTACAAGGTTAGTGCTTTCTGTTTTGCTGGTGTATGAAATGCCTCACTTCTGTGTTTATTGACAATGAAGCATACTACAGTAATTGTTTTTAAAAATGATTTTAGATTTGAGTCTAGTGTTTCTGAATTATGGATGGGAGCTACTGTATTGATTGAGCACATTTTTTCTCCTCTCTCCCTTTTTTCTCCTCTGTTGAAGATAGAATTTTTGTTGACATGCTAGTTTGGTGTTTGGAAATTGCTCCTAAGATCTGTGTTTATGTAAGATTTGATAAGCTAATTCACATGATAAATGTTAATGTTCCTTAGCTATCTTGATTGCTAGAGGAGAACATCTTTATCTTCCTTGTCATCAGTATTTGCATTATCTACTTCAAATTTTTACTTTTTGATTGTTACGTAATGGTGAAGCTTTTATTGACATTATGAAATTATTAATGTCATTTGTTTTGACTTAAAGGAAAACATTTTCTGAGTAGCCAGTTATATTTAATACAATTTCAACTTTGAAAAGTTTAAATGAAATTTAGGAATTGTTTGATACTTTGTAGTCATAAGCTTCAATTAGTCATATACTGACACTAAATGCTTTTTAAATGAAATGGTGGATAAACAGGGGACATTTCTACCGCTAATTGTGCCACCAACAATTTATCAGGCGGGTCTTTGGACAGCTTGGTTGGCTGTGCTTTGTTCTTTAAAGGTATATCTTATACTAAAGAGGGCGAATGAAAATAATTCCATTGTGATTTGATATATACAAACAAAACCAATGTGTAGTAACTTGTTCTGATACATTTTAAACATATTGCATAGATGTTTCAAGCTTTGGCTAGAGATCGTTTGGAGCGGTTGAATGCATCTCCATCTGCTACACCTTGGACATATCTTCGTGTATATTCAGCATTGTTATTTGTTTTCTTGGTTGATGTTCTCTGGTACTACTTGCTCTGCTTTTCTAAAACAGTTTTCTTGTTCATATTATTACCATTGCTGTTATCATTATTACAATTCTGGAGATTCCTCTAGTCCCTGCTCAGGCATAGCATTTACTTTGGCCACAGAGTGCTTACAATGGGATTCATTATTCATATACTTACACTGTAGGTAAAGTCTGCCCCTGTGGAACTCAGTTTTCTAACTGAGCCACTCAAAGTTATCAGTAGCAGCAAACAGTGCTGCTATTGCCTGTAATGGAGTGTTGAGCTACTGGCCACTGCTAGAAACTAGTAGCATCAAGTTTTTGTGTTGCACAATTAGCAGCCAAAATTTTGGATAAGTTGTGGAGGCTATAGTGCTGCTATTCCCTTTTTGCACCTCAGAACCTCCATTTTCCGGCCAGTCCTGATATCCCACACACATTCTGGACAACCTCACTCCATTTTTTCCTGACCAACCCATATTTGCATGATAACTTCCTTTCTGTCTGTTAAGAAATTTGGGCCTAACTCACTCTTAAAAGCTAGCTCATAGGAGGAGGACTACTCTAGCCCTTATTAGGAGTATTTTGGCTCTATTCCTTACCAATGTGGGATATAAACACTGTCTTTATATGTTCTATTTTTTTTTGTCTTTTTATCCTCCTCAGTAACTTTCTTTCTACCATTTTATTAATTTTTTGATCTTTTTATCTTTTCTGTTTTGTTGCTCTATCTACTTCTTGCTATTATCTGTTTGTTTTTGGGAATTTACTTTATTGACAATTGTCCTTTAAACTTTTGATTTCTGGCTTGGAAAAATGGAGGAGTGATAATGAGACTTTTGTTAAGTGCAGGAACTTAACTATGACATATGAGACATGCTTTTTTTTTTTTGTGTTGTTTAGTATGTTCTTAATGCTAAATAGTTCCCAAAATTTCATGAATTTTCTGTTGCAGTCCATTTTTTTTCCTATAAATTTCATTAGTCTTTTTTTTTTAAAAAAAAAAAACTTCATTCCTTAATTCAGAGCTTAATTAATGATGAATGTGTGTTAGACTTATGATTATAAATTATGAATATAACTTTGTATTTGGATATATCCAGTTTTCAGTATAGTTCTCACTCCACCTGTAGTTTTGGAGTTGACAGCTTTGCCTTGCTATTTGGGATTAATAAGCCACTCCTAATGGTTAAATAGGCCCTTCGTTAGTTGAGATGCTGTTGAACCTGATAAAAACCTTGAGAGACCACACCATAAAATCTAGTTGCTATAGTTGGAGAGCCCAAGGCCTTATATACGCCACATTAGAATTCCATACTTCTAATGTGGAACTTATGTCCCATAATTTACAATTGGCTCTTAACATCCCACAAGGCTGCAATGTGGAACTTAAGTCCCATAATTTGCAATTGGCTCTTAACATCCTACCACGCTTTGCAGCCTTGGTGCCCACGCTGACTGGATGTGCACTAGCCCCTTTGACTAGTCCCAGATGAACACTGTAATGCTGGTGTCACTACCTACGCCTCATTTGCAGCTGGGATAGACATGGTGGAAGGGTCTGATACCAATTTTGATAAGAATCTTGAGAGAACTACACCACAAAAGTTAGCTATTTTTGTTGGAGAGCTAAAGGCTTTATAATCTGTGCATTAGAATTACATACTTCCAATATGGGACTAAATTCCCATACCTTGTAATTGGATCTTATATAACCTCATTTGAAAAATTAGCTTCCATTAATACTCTGTTCATTTCACAAATTTTTGTAAGCTGGATTCTTTATAGAAGTTGCTGCTGAATGCTGTTTTTTTTTATAGTTCATAATTTCCAATATTGCTTGTACATGCATCTGCATCATGACAATCATTAGTTCTAGTCTCTAAATTGGGGTTTGAGTTTATGCTTTTCCTATTTGAGTTAATAGTATAATCAATCCACATTGAACTTGTTAGTTTTAATTTTCACGAAAGCTGAAACAATCACTATTACTATTGTAATTTTATAACTTTGGAATGCTTCTGACACATCCTTTTTTATGCTCTAGGATAAGGTTTTGTCTGGCAATATATAGAACACATGGGTCCTCTATGTATCTTTTACTATTCTTTGAGCCTTTCAGTATTACTTTTGAGACCTTACAGGTATTTAGAATGCATCTTTGCAGATTTGAGATCCACTCATAATCTATTTAGCCTCAAATGAGATAACGATGCCTGAGTTAACGTTTTGTGTGTGACATGAATTGTAGGCCATTTTGGTACATGGGTTTCAGTTGCTTGACATATGGCTTCATCATTCAGCTTGCAATAGCAGTGATTTCCGAACGCCTAAACTGCTTGACACGTTAACTGCAGGTAGTTTGGATAAAATCTGGTTTTTGAACTTCTATGAACTCATCAATACTATTGGGATTATAAATATGCATCTTTCTGTACTATAGACAATTTAAATTGTGTCTCTGCATTTCCCCTGAATGTTTTCTTTATTCTGGTTGTTTGCAGTACTAATAAATTGCTATCTTCTGAATTATAAGTCCTTTCTTTTGTTTGAAATAAAGAGCACTGGTTTTCACTTGTTTGTCTGGATGGGAGTTTAAAGCATGGTTTCTTAAGACACAATTTGATTTCTTGAAAACATAAAAGCTTGTTTTCATTAGTGTGGTTTCTTGAGTCTATTTGCTAACTAGTGGTTGATGGTTGTTTTGGCATGTGAGAATGATGGGCCTTTAACACACATATACCAGAAAGGAAATGAGCTGGTATGTGCCGGGAGTTGGGGGGGTGGGGGGAATACTGTTCTGAGTAAAGAGGAATTGGTGGAGGGAGAGTGTGGCAGCAGGGAATGGAGAGGAAGATTCTACAATAATGAGAGAGTGAAGCAAATGTGAACGACGAGGGGGAAAGGAGTGTGGGAGGCTTACTGAACTTAGGAAAGGGTTTGATGGGTTAGGTGATAGGTCAGTAAAGGAAAAGTCTAAGTGTGTGAACTGTTATTCTTTTTTTTTTTGTGCCATTTCTTTTTATTATTGTGCATTGTGCTCTTTTTTTGTGTTATTGAGTAGAATTTTGTCACTGTAAAGGAGAGTTTGTCCTTGAGCTTTATTATATTTCCAATGTAATTCTAGTATAGTTAAGAGTATCATGACTTTCTCACCTAATCATTTCAGATTCAGACTACCTAGGTTCTTTCCATTTTATTTTTCTGTCCATACATATGGTAAATAGTGCTGAAATAATCTGATTTTTGTGAACTTGTTTTGTTCTGATTTATTCTTTCCTTTCCTTTTTTCTTGGCTGTTTTTGTTTCTTGATAAGTAATAACCTGTCTATTAACCTTTTCTTTTTTTCTGTTTGTTTGGATGAACTTAATTCTAATTAAGTGGTGTACCTGCAGGTTCATTATTGGAATGGAAGGGAATTCTTATTCGGAACTTGGGGTTTTTCCTTGACATGGCAACATATTTTATGGCACTTGGCCATTACTTGTATATATGGCGGCTTCATGGCATGGCTTTCCATCTTGTAGATGCAGTGTTGTTTCTAAATATACGTGTAAATATTTGTGTAATTGTGTCATTTTTAATTCTGCATGAATTTGACTATCCATAGAAATTTAACTGACATTTTCATATTATACTACTTGTTTTCATTGATGATATTTTGAGCAGGCTTTGCTTTGTGCAATAATAAATCGCATAAAAGGCTTTATTAGGCTAAGGATAGCTCTAGGAGCGCTTCATGCAGCTCTTCCTGATGCCACGACCGGGGAGCTAAGAGCATATGATGATGAATGTGCTATTTGTAGAGTATGCTAGTTTGCTTTCCTGTCTTTCTGATTGATCTTGGTAATTGACATTGGTTGGATATACTTTTGAATAACATTATGAATGTACTTATGACAGGAACCCATGGCTAAGGCTAAAAAGCTAAACTGTAATCACCTCTTCCATCTTTCATGTTTGAGATCTTGGTATGGTTGATTTTATGAACTCTTATACTTTTTATATTTGAGTGTTTTAGTGAGATACTATCGGTTGCTTAATTGATTCTAGGTTGGATCAAGGCCTGACTGAGATGTATACTTGTCCAACATGCCGAAAGCCACTGTTTGGAGCCGGGCCTGAAAATGAAACAAACTCCAATACAGGGGCAATATCTAGTGATGAGCAACTTGCACGTCAAATAAGTGCAGGACTTGATCGGCCGAACTCTGCTACTAGACATAACATGCCTACAGGGTTGTATCCAAATCAGACACTAAACACTGCTGAAGGTGTTCCTTGGAGGTTCAATCTTCATACTCAATACTTCATGGCATTCTGTCTCCTTTTTGCTTGTGGCTGTTATTTATTTGTTAAAATAGTAGTTTTGAGCAGTTATTAAGTACAAGTAAAGAGGATACAAAATCCACCTAGCACAGCTGTCAAAGAAATGCAAACAAAAATAATAGACGGAAAGAAATGAAAATACAAATAATAGACGGAAAGAAATCAGGTCAACTCCTCAATTACTCAGTCGAACCCAATAAAGAAACACCTCCTTGAATATTGTGAGCTGAAATCCTCGAGGAAGCCAATGGAACAGCTCCTTCAATAAAAGGCACTAGAAGGGAATCTCTGCTGGAGATCTATGATTCTGAACTATGTTTGCTTCATCCATAAACATCACAACCCTGAGAAAGGAGGTCATCGTGGCAGGACCTTCTATACCTTTGTTCTACCAAAACCTCTGAAAAAGATGGCATCAAAAGTGATTCATGAGGCCGGTGAAACTCAGGGCAAGGAAAACCAATTCCAAAGTTCATTCTGAATTTTCCTGGCCACCTCTCAATGTGTAGAAAAGATATAAAAAAAATGACTATTTGGCTCTAAACTTTGAGGACACATGATGGGGATATCAGGGCATGTAGCTATTTGGGCCTATCAGTCTTTACAAGATATTTGTAAGAATGGAGGGAGGGGGACAAATATTTTTTTCTACTGACTTTATCTTTGAAAAAGACTTGGAAGAGAAATTTAATAGCAATTGGGTTTCAAATTAAATACTCTAAGGAACAAGTATCAGAACCACAATAAGAAGTCTTTTTATTGGCCCCAAATGATACTATTTCTTACATTAAGTTTTCCTTTTTGGATCCCTCTTAGACACTAAACGAGATATGTTCAATCAAAATAACTAAATGATACCGACTTTACAATAATATTATCTCTGGAACTGATCTATAGAAATATTATTTATCTAACTTCCTCTGATTTGATTTATTGCAAGAATGGTTTACCCTTTTTTATCGACAACCTTTGTTTCCTGCAGCAGGAAAAATATGTAGGTTTGTTATCTTGCATGTATTGTTGTGTTCTGTTCTACTGATTTTCCTTTCTCTTATCTAGGGGTGCAGGACTGGACTCAGGTTGGTTGCATTCTTGGCCAAATCAGGGTGTTGATGGAGCTGGTCCTTCTACTGCTATCAGAACAGTTGGATTGGGCAGAGTTCAAATGATGATGAGGCATCTTGCATCTGTTGGGGAAACCTATGCTCAGACTGCCTTTGAAGATGCTTCTTGGAACCTTTGGCCCATTAATCCCTCTCAGGCTTCTGCAAGTGGTTCCATTCCTTCCCCTGGTGGAAGATTGGCAGGAGGAACTGGTAGTTTACACATAAGGACTGCTTCAAATTCTGCAAATGATAACGTGGCGAATATACTTGCCATGGCTGAGACTGTTCGGGAGGTTCTACCTCATATTCCTGATGACATAATATTCCAGGTTTGTTTTGGACTTTTTGCATTATACAATGTTCCTTGACTTCCTCTGTTATATTTTTATTTAATATCACCAAAACATCTTCCTTGCATATTCTGTTCAACCTCATACTTCTAGTTCTTGTGAGAACTTAACTAACTTCCATCTCTTTATTTATCCTCCACACAGACACTTGTAATAGGAGGGATATCTTACTGACTGTCAGAAACCCATCAACTTTACTCAATAGTAGCTATTGTATGCAACTATTGAAATTGTCTAGATAATAGATCCTTAAACTTTCTCAATGTACAAATTATCTCCCAAATTCTGTCAACGAAATGATGGCACTATTATCACGAGACATATGTGATTCCTGTTATGATCATACATCAGTGGTCATTTTTAACTACTTGTGGGTGAGATATGCTTCCCACAGACAAAATAATAATAAAATAATGCTAAAAATCATCATCTCAGATCGTGATCAGTGCTTGCTGTTCAGCATTGTAAAACACAAGCCTCTCCACCTATTCTCCCGAAAGCAGCCATGGAACTCAGGCACATTGAAACTCTCATTCTTCATCACAATGACTGTATATATAGAAGCACTGGTATCACATCAGAATGACTGAACTCATTTATACCAGTCCTTGAAATGAAACATTTTACAAATTATAGACACTGAAACTGAAGGTACAGTTGTTGCCTTACAAGCTGAACCCATGTGGACCAAAACCTGTATGGCTTTGATTTAGTTTGGGTGTTGGACTTTTGGAGAAGTGCTGATGAATAGAGCACCCGTAAATGAGTTTAAGTACGCATTTAGTTCAGCTTATTTTGAGGAAATAATCCTTTTCTTATACAGCTTTTTGAGAAACAACCACCACCAAGCCTTATCTCACTAGGTGAGAGTGGCTACATGGATCACGTTCCATTAAACTCATCAAAAATTAAATTTTCAGCAATTTAGTTAATCAAAATGTTTCTTTTAATAACTTCATCTAAGGTTTTTTTGAGTCTTAATTTTTTTTTATTGGAGGAAAAATCATGCAATCCACTCTTCTTATTGGTGCTTTCAAAGGTTTTCTTTGTACATGATCAAATTATCTTAAACGATTTTCATTCATCTTTTTCATTATAAGTGCTATTCCAATATTCTCTTATATACTATCATTTCGTATCCTGTCCTTTCTCATGTGTGCATTCATTCACTTTAGGATTCTTCTCATGTTGTTCCTTTAAGGCCTAACATTTACTATTGTATAGGATAGCTGGTCATATTATGATACGGTAAAACTTTCTTTTTAATTTGATAGTTACTTTATAGCCTGATGTCTTTCTTCACTTTAACCACTTAACTTGTATTATGTGAGTAACATCTTCATTAATTTCTCCATTATTTTATAATAATCGATCGTAGGTACTTGAAACTGAAAATTTGTGGTATAATATCATCTTTAATTTTCACTTCTAATGCTTGATCCTTATCTTGATTTTTGCTAAACTTACAATGCATATATTCTGTCTTACTTTTACTTATGAAAAAATCTTTAGATTCTAAAGTCTCCCACCATGACTCAAGTTCATCATTCATTTCTTTTTTTGAGTCTTCAACCAACACTATATCATTTGCAAAGAGTATGCACTAAAGGATAATTTTTTGTATGGCACTTATAAGTACATCTAAACTAGATTAAACAAGTAGGGCTCAAAGCAGAGCTTTGATGTAAATTTATTTCTATTAGAAAGTCCTTAGATATGTCAGAACTTTTTACACATGTAGTTTTCTCTTCATACGTCTTATATAAAGCTTTTTGAGAAAGCTTTTGAAAAAGGATATATTGATACATTTTTGTATATAGGAGATGATTCCAAGATTCAAAAAGTTTTAAGGGTTTATTTTCCTAATATTTTACTTGTCTGAGGTGTAGTTGCAATCAAACTATAGTTGAATGGGTTTACTTATCCTTGGCTCCTTAATTTTATTTTGTAGATTGATTACTTGTTGTAATATACATTAGAATCTAAAGCGTTTGATACTGCAGGATTTGCAGCGGACAAATTCAGTCACAGTTACTGTGAATAATCTTCTCCAAATGTGATGTGTTAAGGTATTGTTTTGCTCATCGATGGTTATGAAGAATCAAGGACTTAGAGCTACACTTTTCCTTGGAAAAGCATAGGCTTCATTTTATGTATATAGAGTCAGCACATTTAATCTGTTGTACTCAAGGAAGATAGCAGAAAATATAGGCCTTTTCTTTCTCTTCTCCTTGAATCTGTAGCGAAATAAATATGGTGTATGTTCCCAAGCTGGGCAAGTTCCTTCCCGTCATTGTACCCTTTAAATTGTAATTCTGAATCTGCTGCTACTCCAAAATATGCTATAATTTCTTTTCCATTCCCCACACCATTTTTGTGGGGGTTGGCACAGAGAGAGAAAGATCTAGGTACTCCGACTTCAGGGGTATCAATTATCTTCAAGTGACTCAGTTTTGGACGTGCAAGTCTGCAGAATCTAATCAAATATAATAAAAATTTATATACAACATAAGCGTGTGTTTGGGATTGAGAGGTTTTGGAGGGAGGGTGGATAATTTTTTTTGGATCTAAGGAGTTTTATAATGTTTACAAAAAAGAAACAAAAGATTAAAACAAAAAGTTTACATTACTTTATCATTTTGTTTTATTTATTTTTTAAAAAATTATTGGATTAAAAATTATTTATTAGAAATGAAAAATGTCTTTTTCCATCAGAAGTTTAACTCAAAGCAAGTTCTCTCTCGTACTGGGATATGCAGATGTAGTAGAGTAAAAATTAGTATAAAGTATATACAAGTTATTTGATTCATGGTTGATGGTACTTTACACGAAGGTATATTTCAAGATTTTTGTAAATAGCTCGTGCAACCTCTCAATAACAAACTGTGCAATACATGTACATGCACATTTCATTATCTATTTCTAGTTTCATCGTGCACACTTAATCGTATTATTTTCATACCTCGTGGCACACCTTGTCCTCAGCGTGTAGATGATAATAGGCAAGGGGAGGATCATTAAATAAAAGATTGAGAACATATATGTCTTACAATACCTCAGTCGATAATACAACACGTTCATGGCACGTATTACCAAATGCTAAGGCATGGTTTGGATTGGAACTGAAATAATGGCAGAATTTGGATTCATAGGTCGTGACATTAATATGATTCAAATAATGATATTTGCACGTTAAAAAAAATAAAAATTACATAGTTCTTACGTTACTCTCCTTTTAAATGATCCGCACAATTCTACATGCTATCTTTATCTTTAATTTTTCCCAGTGCGAGTGAAATGATGCAAAGAATTTAGCATGTAAATATCAATTTTGATATTTGCTATGTTGACCCAACTTTTCCACCTTAGCAGGGGGTAGAGAAGTCGTCAGCATGTTTGCTTGACAATTAAAGAAGAAACTGAGACTGGCCTTTCAAAGCCATGGCATTTCCTTATTTTCTGTATATGTATGTGTTTTTATATAAATTTAACAATTTACATCTATATTCTGATGAGAATAAAAAATTTGTATGAAAGTAATAAATCAATTGAACAATAAGGATATCTTTATTATAAAACTATGTATCATACTTCTATTGTTTTTACTCTGGCAGACTTTTGTTTATTCTGGTATCTATATATTTAAGCAAAATTGATTACATATTAGGATTAAATGCCGTATTTATTAAATGTAATATAGAATTACCTAAACAATGTTATTAGAATGTTATATATATGTATGTATGTAAGACTCTATTTTGAAATTTCTTTACTAGTGTCATCATTTGATGCATAAATAAATATCAATTTGCTACTTGATTTGAATTCGTCATATGTTTACTGCAGTGTTTGGATTCGATAATCATAGACTGAAAAAAAACTTTCTGTCTTAACTAGTCATTGTATTGAATACGTTAGCAGCATATTCTATGTATTTACGATTTCAATATATTTTTTTCACCGTGATTTTCTTTTTTGAGGAAGGATGAACAATGAGTTTACTATTATACTAGAGGGAAATATGTTTTATAAATTTGAAATGTTACAACACACTGCTTTCACAATGAACACTTGTATCGTGTCCAAAAAATTCTTCCAATTCATGTCAAGATCCCTAAGCTAGCACTAGGAGTCAGGATTTGAGTAAAACAAACAAATATTAGAAGTTAAAAGTGGCAACAAGCCAAACGATGTCCTCACAACCCATGACTAAATTTTTGGTATGCATTGGAACTAATATCATCCATGCATGCTAGCACTTTGATTGGCAAAATTTGCACCTAATTGCAATCCAATCCGCATTCCTCTAGAATTGGACCACTTGACTTGGGTAAAAAAGGATCAATTTTGACCCACAAGACAGAAAAGAAAGAGGCAAGCAAAACTGACCAAACAATAACAATGGTAGGAGTCCTGTTATGCCTACCTGTGATACCTTTGAGGAATGGATACAAATGAAGAATTACCCATAAGGAAAACATGAGTTTACCAAGTAGAGGCCCCCAAGATTCAAAGCCACTATTTATTGCATGTGAGACTCCAGCAACTACAGCAATTATATTTAATATCAACAATGTGGTTGGTATGATTAGTAAAGTGGTCCACTTCATAGCAAACATCTCAGAATGCTCCTTGTCTTCTCCTACTTTTGGTGTCACAATGAAGTTTGTGTTCACACCTGCCAATACCTTAAACATCCCTAAAAATACTGCAAATAAATGTGCTGAAACCCCTCCAATCACCCAAAACTGCTCATTTCTCCACCATTCATCTATTGTAACTCCACTCCATCTCATCTCTAGCGCACTTGTGGTGAAAATGCAAATGAAAAGAGTCACAAACCACATTCCAGTTGTGTTATTGAGCTGCAATGCCAACAAGAATGTTGTTAGTAAGCCTTGACAAGTTTTTTACAACACTATGGCAGTAGCAATTGGGAAGCAAATCACGTGTCCCCACTTTTTGTTCCCCTCCCCATGTCCCTTTCTCTGTCTCCTTAATTAAAAAGTGTAGCCTAACTAAAAATTGACATGAGAAAGTAAAAAAGACTAATCATTAGGCGAGGGTTACATTTTAATCCAGTGTCACTTTTGTCTTTTTTACACTAATGGGCTAGTTCCGTTTCAAATTACTCCACTACTGTAACTTTTAAAATTTTTACCAAAATAATGTAAAACTTTCACCCTTTGTTTTGTTTTTTTTCCGTGAATAAATTTGTGGCAGTTTTGTACACAATTTATGGCGCTTGAGTAAAATTTCACTGTTTTGGTAAAATTTTCAAAATTTCCCTACTTGGATAATTTTGAAGGGGAATTACCCCAAAACAGTGAAAAAAAAAAGCCTCACTTTTTTTATTGAGGGGATGGGAAATGGTTATAGGTAATTCGAATGTGTTGTTCCAAGTCACTCTTTCAAACCAAGACTAAAGTTTTAATAACAAAAAGAAATTAGAAAACTGATAAGGTCTTTTGGACTCATACCTCAGGAATGATAAATTTTCCAGTAAGCAAGCAAACAGCTGGTAAGGTACAATATGCCACCAAAGGTATTGATGTCCAGGGATATACTGTGGCATTTATGTAAGAAATACGCTCTAACCACTTTAATCCTCCTCCATATCCATGCCAAAGAGGGCAATGCTTACTCATAAATATTTCAATGGATCCAAGGGCCCATTGAAAGACTTGTTGCAAACCATTTGAAAGATTTCTTGGGGCAGATACTTTAAATGCAGGTCTTTCAGGAATACAATATATAGATCTCCATCCATGGCAATGCATTTTAAAACCTGTCAATATATCTTCTGTAACTGAACCATAGGTCCACCCTACCTGAATGATTAAAACAACTTTTTTAGAGCTGACTGCTTAGTTAGTCACAACTTACAACTTGACCGCAAGGAGACTCAGAAGAACATAGTGATTGAAAGGTTTCGTTACCTCTTTTCCCCATTCTGTTTTCTCTTCATAGCCACAACTAATTACATGTATGGCTTCTGTAAGTTGAGAAGCAAGGTTGTCATATTTTAGTGTCTCACCATCCTCCAATTGAGTTGATGCAATGAAAATAGGAGATTGTCCAAATTTCTTGACAAACTTCTGATTTGAAATGTGAGTGGAAATTTCATCTTTTACACCTACATTCAAGGTATTACAGACTCATTCCTGTTGTTACTTCATAAGCTTACTATAGACCCTTATATTTTCTTCCAGGTACAACATTATTCTTGAACAGTAAAGTGTTTCTCTTCTAATTTGCACCTATACACACACGGGGACATATCTAGTGAGAACAGTTTTCACTATAAGATTATGACAACTTTAAATCTTGACCATACAAACTATACATTGACGGTCAAAATTAAAAGTTAGCTAGTGGTCAATTGATCATTTAAAAATTCCATGCATATTTTTCTTTTAATCTTACCCATTCAAATAACATATAATGGTCTATGTTTATTCTTTTCATTCTTACAATAATCAAGTATTTTCACTTGAGTCATTTCCTATCTATCTATGTGGACAGTGCTTTAGAGAATTGAAAATAATATGTGGGCAAATACTAGATGTTCTACCTTTAGTACCGTGTTCAATGTACAAAGCATTTTCAACTATAGATGCTTCAGAATGTACTTTTCTGTGACTGCTTTCCATCATGTCAAACTTGGGCTTCTTCAACTTCTTCTTCCTCTTTCCCATGCAACACCATCCACAGCAACAACACTTCGACCAACAATTACATGTCTTGGTTGGAGGCTTCTTTTTTCTTGGAGCATCAAAACCATAAAGTGCTTGCCTTCTAAAGACACAGCCAGTGCCAACATATGTAGGTCCTTGTATACCATCCAAACCTTTCATGTTAATCTGAAAGAGAAGAAAGTTAGCTTATCACAATTTCTTCATATGGGAAATTCAAAAAGATGAGTAAGTTTTAGTATTCATACATCAAAGAATGCATTTGTATGATTGGTATATTGATCACTGTTGTCAATACCATCAAATCTCTGTGAGAACTGAACATAGCAGACCCTTTTTCCTAATAGTGGGTCCATCATGAAACACATTGCTTCTCTTATAGCCTTGCTATTGTTGATGTAATGATCATAGTCCAAGTTTAACACAAAAGGTGCATTGGAAAGCACAGCAGACACTCTGACCTGTTTGGCAGAATCATTAACAAAGAAATATATCAAAAAGTCTGCGCTGATGTCAACTGCATCATTACCTAAAACTGTAGAATTTGCTCAAACTTCTCGTCACCCTCATTTTTTTTAAGTGTTGCTTACCGATGCATTCAGTGCTCCTGCTTTTCTTTGGTGATTGAATTTAGGCCTCTTTTCTCTAGAAACATACACTAAACGTGGTAATTCATTGCCATCCATGTCATATCCCCCAGTTTTTCCTAGAAGAACCTTAGAAAGTAATTGACATTGACAATAACACAGTTAATTAAACAAAAATAACCATATATATTATACATATGATATGTTCTTTAATTTTTTTTCTAACCTGGATCATTCCTGGGTGATCATAAACATCATTTCCAGGCCATGGTGTTCCATCTTGCATTGTCCACCCTTCTTCTGGGACCTTCCTAGCCTTTGCAACTAGAGAATTAATTCTAACTCTAAACTCTTCATATTCTCTCTGTAGTACAATGATAATGAATTCTTACCATATAACATGGAGATTAATATGAAGAAGTAACCAAGAGATGTAGAATTTTTGTTTACCTTCATTGCTCTTCTCTCTTTCACAAATGATGGGTGCGCCTTGTCTTTTAGGTAGTTTATCTTCTCAGCAAAATACCATTCAGGTGCCCTAGGCTCAATGCTGAACTTCTTACAGAAAGGAACCCATTTCCTTGCAAATTCAGAAGTTTCAGATAAAGCCTCAAATGTTAACATTGCAGCACCGTCATCAGATACATAACATGACACCTTTTCAGCAGGGTAATCTACAGCTAGAATGGAAAGAACCGTGTTTGCAGTCACAAGTGGAGACTCCTTTAATGGATCCATTGTGGTCACAAATATGTCAATTGGAGAAAGTTGTGAAGGCTGGCCCTCCTTTTCATACCTATGAATAGGAAAATTAAAAATTTGTTGATAAACTTGCAATTAAACATCACAAAACATCCATATACTAACGATTAGTCATTAGATTTGTTCCTCTTGGCATAGGTTTTGTCTAATAGAAATTGAACTATTGGCATAAAACTAGAGATATTATAAGTTTACACTAACAGAATGATGCATTTGGTATATAAATTGATATATACTGTCCGTGCTTCATAGATTAGTACATCATATTGTTAGCAATAACCCACAATGTCTATTCTATCAGTTCAATTTTTACAAGACAAAGTTTATACTAATAGAAGAAAACCAAACAATGACTAAACTTCAGCATATGATTTTTTTTTGTAGTATAAGAACAAGAAATACAACATTGTATATGGACAAATTATTTGTAGATTACTTGCCTCAAGGAAAGCCTGTCCAAATAGGTTTCCCTCATGACAGGAAGCCACTTTGGGAACTGGTCTAGAATCCATGAAAGAGTGAACCAAATCTCACATATTACTGACACAAGCCACAAGGCATAGGCATTGTCTACTGGGTGCATTACTCGATAATGGAAGAACAACCCAAGCACAACTAGTCTGATTACAATGATCATACGATAAGGGTTAATTTGACTAGTTGGAACAGGCAACTTTCTTGACAATGGTTGTCTTGCTTCATCCATTCTGATTAACACAAGAAAACATAAAATGAGACTAATCCTTTTAAAGGCAATAAACTGCTTAAGTGGATTCAACTTTCTCAATGAAACATTTTTCATATGCACGACTAGGAATTGAATCCAAATCAACATTTTTAAGGTACACAATTATCTATGAATTGTGCCGACCGTGTTGGTAATATCTTTATTTTAATGTTATATAAATTATAGAGAAGCACTTACATAGGGAATTCAGTGTCATCATCTTTGATGTTGTTAAGAACTTCATTGTCATTTTCTTTTCTCACATGACCAAGTGTCCTTTGTCTTTGCTTCCATATCTCCATTCTTTCTTTCCAAGCAACACTCCCATAGCCATAAGCAGCCAGGTCCTTGGAAGGGTCCATTGGTCTTGCTTGCAATGCAATTATCTCTTTGCTCAATATGGTTGAATTTGAAGGAACCAAAGCACGATGTTCTTCAGATGTTTCTTCATCCAGTTCCTATTGGCGCGATGCATGCATGCAAAGGATAAAGTAAGAAGCTAGAACAAAATCGTCAATTTTTTTAGAACTAAGATTTAATTAGTACATTGGTACTTTACTCCTCTTAGTTTACAAAGATAAAAATATTCTTTTATGAACTACTCGAGATTGACGTAATTAGTAAAACCAACTATTGATTGATTATATTAGCTCAAATATTGATATTGAACAACGAGATTACAAGTAGTATGCCATATTTTAGCTGAGATTGTTATTATTTCATTTCTCTCTGCACCCTTGGGTTTGGGGTAGGTAAAATTTAAGTAGCATGTACTTCTAATGCCTAATAAATTTTCAATTTTTTAAAATTTTTTTCGATGAGTATTAGTTTTCTTTTTCTTCTCTATAAAAATGAAACAATTCGGAAAGAAAATAAACATAAGGCGTACGGTTGTAATAACACCATTCACATACTTCCAGTTAATAATTTAAACTTTTACAAGTTGGTTTAATAATAATAATAATAAGAAGAAGAAGAATAAGACAATTTAGTTCATATATGTTTAAAGTTTAGAAAATCGTTTGCATTTAATCCTTTGTATAAGGGAACAACTTTACAGTTATAGTAAAATTATTTGTCTGTTTTTAATCAATAATTTTTTTAATGTGTGTCCAAGAACACCCAATAAAATATGTACGGTGAGCTTTTATTAAATTATAAGATCTAATGTATTGAAAACCATGTAATAATATTAAAAACTATAATTTATAATAAATTTTTATTGTGAAATTTTAGATACACATAAAAAAAAAATCTTTTATTTAACAACATGTGTAAATATGCTTTGAATCTTATGTTTGAATAGATGGCAATGGAGAAAACGAGAGGGAATAAAATCATAAATGTCATAAAAAAAAATTAAGAGTTTAAAAGCAAGGCCGGGGTAGAATCACAAAGAAGAAGAGCTCATTATTCAAAGCCACAGTACGTTGTCTACTTTCTTCTCTTATTAAATTCGTTATACATGTTACAACAAAACAAGTTGAAGTCTTATGTTTTACTACATTCTTTTCCTCGTCGTATGTACAACGTGTTGTAATTTGTGTGCCCCTTCTATAAATGCTCCTATAACTATTAATTAATTTGCCTGTGGCCGCTCAAAAATAATGAAAAATATAGCAAATTAAAAAATTTTAAAATAAAATATTTAGAACTATAGAAAAAAAGACCAACTTCAATAATTTAATATTGTCACCTTATGTAACAATGTAAAGATGGAAAACGGAAGATATGTAAAAATTAATTTATTCCGTTTGCTTGTTTAAGCACACGAATACTCATTGAAAATTGGAAAGTTAGCACTGTTTCTATCAATCATGAATTCTAGAAAGGACACCTACATAGATCTATTTGTAATTGGTTCAAACTTCTTTTTCAATTGTGTAGCCATATAACGAGTAACATGTATCAAGCTATATACGTTTGCGTGAATTATACACCATTGACTAGAATATTGCACTAGCTAGCCAGTTATTCAATCTTTTTTCTCCTCACCTCTCCAACAGTTTACATGAACGAATTATAAATGTCTCTACAGAAAAGTATATGCTTAAGTGGGTTGCCTTTGTATAATGAAAATTCTATAAAAAAAAGGTTACTAAGTTTAATATTTAGAATAAAAAGTGTAATATAAAATGAGAAGAAGCATAATTTGCTAACTTGTTTTAGATTACGTGGGGCATATGGAGAATGTCAGAACAATACTGCCTCATATATAGGACTAAGCATTACCTCATCAAGAGACATTGACATTTTCATATCTTTTTTATTTCGTCCATCAAAATCGAATTCGTTCTCCAAGTCATCAATGTCATCCTCCTCCTCATCCCCCTCAACTCTAGCACACCCTTCATCATTCAAGTTACATCAATTTAGAAACAAAAGAAGAGTAGTTAATTAACTTCTAAAATGTAATATATTAGTGACAAACTTTAGTGACAAATTTTTTTTTTGTCGTTAATTTTAGCATCTTAATTTTAGTGATAAAGTTTTAAAATTACATTAAACATGATTAATTTTCGTTCTCTACTAGTGTTAATTCACAATGATGAATTAACATGTACTTGTATCAAATAATGAAATTGCACACCCTTGAGACGCTTGAATCTGGTTTTGCATTGAGGGCAGACCTGATTTCCCTCCCTGCGTTCATACTCATAACAATTTTTACAAACAGGAAAGGCACACTCATTGCAAGCCACAAAGAGATCACCATCTGCATTAACCCCTATATCATCTCCACATAGTTTGCATGTTTGACCATGCAAGTGCTGCAACTGATTTCTTTGCTGCACCACACCAAACCAACGTGCTATGTAAGTGTTGCATGTATTTCATTGAGAATCAAGGGCGAGTATCCAAAGTACTAGATTGATGATTTTCTTTTGTAAAAGAACATAATTAACAACATTTAAGAAAAGTTTTAATTTGACAATATTTCATATTCACCCGAATTTGTGATAGCTAATAATTTTTATTTATTTTTAAATAGCCAACCATATAAGATTACTAAAAAACCTTGATATATGCCTACCTTAAGCCATAAGTGACTCTTCTAGTGAAAATATCACTTAAGGAGGTGTCTTTCGAAAAGTTTATGAAGAGCTTAGTTATAAAAACAATTAACTTATAACTCTTATAAGTTCTTTTTATATATACAAATAATAAATTTTGAAGTAAAATTTGCAGTATAACATGTTATGCAAATAAAAGCTTATTGACAAGTGTTTAATTAACCGATTACTCAAATGTATCTTTAGTATAAGAGATGACACATGTTACTTACAGGAAAATCTCCATCTTGACGTATGATAATGAATTCATTGCTGTTGCGAGAGCCAGCAACTAACCCCAAATTGGTTTCCATTTGGTGGTAGATCATGCACACTAGCTACCTTACTATTTCTAATAAACACAGTAACATAGTGTTCCCTCTTCACCATATATATTTATAAATCAAGCCTTTGCCTTTCAATTCAAGGAAGATATAAATCTACTTTACTTGATCAAGAGAGAAGCACCGTTATTACTTTTGAACAAAAAGAACAAAAGTTACAACTAATAATTATTCCAATCAATATTCTTTTCTTCTCTTTTGTTTCAACTCACTCACTCTCTCCCTCCCTTTCTCCGCCCAAGGGCCTTTGCCTTTTTTGTTGCATTTGACACCTTTGCTTCTTAACCTTTAGTTTGTTCATCTATAACTCCGCCACCAAAGCTTTTGCATCATCATCTTCTTAGCAAAAAGAAAAAAGAAAAAGAAAAAGAAAGGGTCTTTCCACATGTCTCATTGCTATAGCTAGCTACTTCAATGTGTCATTTTCAATGATGTTTACAACTTCTAATCCATAGAGAAAAACAGCATTAGCGACATTATTGTGAGTCCACTGCGTTTGCTTGTATTGTAAAGCAATATTCATATCAATAGACCACGCTGAAATCCCTTGTTTGGTTATTTTAAAGTCCATTTTGCGGTGCAATTATTTGCATCCATAATCACCTTATATACCTTTCCCAAGCAACACGCACAAATTTTTGTTGGGTTCATTTTAGGAGTAAAACGAATCATATATCTAGTTTCGTTCAAGTGACTGATCGGGTAAGAATTTAATTATAGGTCCATAAATTCATGCTGTACTTCAATGAAAATAATAAACTCTACCTTTCGAGGTTTGTACTTAAAAACAATGAGGAAAAAATATATATCATTATCGTCTTCGGGAAGAAAAAGAGAAAAAAAAGGTTCTTTCAATCGAAATTAATAATTAAAAATATTAATGGGTTTATATAGTTTTACACCCAATAATTTAAAATATATCATTAAAGCCGGAAGCAGCACCCGCACAAGTGGAACCTTTCCCGTTAGGAGAAGGTAAAAGACAATTCAGGGTGTTAGATTCACCATAGCTCAATTCTGACGCACGTTTTAGTTTACCTTTGATATTATTATTTATTATTACTACTTTGGCTATCTAGATAAAGATAGCTTGCAATTTATATAAGAAATTGTAGGTTATTGATTTTGTAAAATTTTTAAGGAAATATAAAATGAGAGAAACTTGTAATTTTGAAAGTTAATTTTTAAAAATTATCTAAAATAATGTTTAATTTTTAAAAGTTATTTTTTCTTTTTTAAGATAATTTGCCATTTCACAGATAAGACCTTCTGTACATGCATTAATCTTATTATCTCTTTTATTTTTTTACATTCACAACATTTTTATTTTTTCTCTATTTTTTTATCTGTTCACTTCTCTTTTATCTAAATATATTTTATATTAAAAAATATATAACTTAAAATAATTTATGTTTAAATATATATCAAGATATATTTTATTTTTTAATTAATTAATTAATCATAATAAATAATTATTAATTTTAATGTTACATTAATATAATATTACATATTTTTTTTAAATTCATTTAACACAAATTAACTAGTTGTACAAGTAGTTTGTCAGACAATTTTAATTCTATAAACTTTTAACTATAAGTTCACATTTTTCAGCTTGCTTTAGGGCTAAATGTTACAAACTTTCAGTTTTTAGCTTGTTTTACCTGTTAGAGCTTTAACAAATACACGTTTATATGTTTATTTTGAAAATTACACCAAATTTATTCAAGCCATCTCAATTGACACTAATTTCTCGGTTAAAGTTTTAATGAAATCAAATTTTAATTTTTTTTTTCAAATGAGTTTGACAATGTTCTAAAAATTAATTTAATAGAATTAATTTTATCTTATTTTGGTAGAAAAAGTTAATTTTATTTAGGTTGTAAAATAAAACTACTCTCCATTGTAATTATATCTAAATTATATCAATTTTATATCTGAAATTATTTTTATTCATTCGAAAAAATTTCTCTATCATATAATCAATTTTACAACAAAAAATATCTGTGAGCAATGATTTTGCAGAAGTAGAAAACGAAAGGGAGAGACACTTGTTTAAAAACATTCACGGCTAGCGTTGCGCAAACTGTTCACTGCAGTTTTTCTTTTCACGAGAAATTTTTGCTTTGGGCAAATAACGGAGACGCTTTTGTATTAGAGATCACACTGGTGGAGTGAGGGCATTTACGAGTAATCATACCTTGTAATAATTTTAAAGTCTGACGTGCATAGCTTCTAATTAAAATTACAGATTCAGCGTGTGTTGATCTTTAATATTAATTTTTATTATATAAATTGTTAAAATTAAATTTTAATTTTAATTAAAAAATTTAATATTAAAAATATTTATAGTATAACAACTAAATTTTATTCTAATTTAAACTATTTTAGCATAATTATGAATGGTATTAAATATGCTGGTAAATATATTTCCTTCGCTTCTTTATATAAAAACACATTTCGTCTAAATCTTATATATATATATATATGTGTGTTAAAAAGAGAATTTTATTAAGGAATCAATAAATAAGTAATATCTTAATAAAAATTACACTGAAATACATTAAAAATGATCAAAGTGAGTGTCTTTTAAGTTTTCAATATTTGTTTTTCATTTTTTAACATATGCTGACAAAAAATTGTTAAAAATAATTGATGTATTAATTTTTTAAAAATTAATTATAATATTTTAAATTTATTTTTAGTAAAATTAAATTATATTAATAATATTTTTTAGTGTGTATATAAATGCACATAATAATGCATATGAATCAACTAATAGGAGATTGTTTTAACTTAACATGTAATTTTGAGTTCAAATATTAAAAAATACAGTTGTGTTGTATACTTGGAGGAAGAATTTTGCAGTCTTTAGTGATCTTAACATATTCTAACAATGTGATTCTTGAAAATTTTCATTTTAAAATAAAAGTTCTATTACTTTAAAAAAATAATTCTAAGAGCATTCAATTAGAAATATAAATGTACTTTCTAATTAAAAAAAATAGGTAATTATACATAAAAAAATGTAAGATTATATGTAAAAAGAAAATTCTTATTTTTGAGGAAGATAAAAATATATACAATAATTATATTTGATATTATTTAATATAACAAACTTTTATCATTATATATTTTTTTATATTTAAATTATAATTTATTTATTTATTTTAAAATAAAATAATTCAAAAAAATTACAAACTCATACAATGCATAGACATATTTACTAATATAATAAAATTCTATCACCATATATTTTTTATATTTAAATTATAATTCTTTTATTTATTTTAAAATAAAATAATAAAAAACTCAAAAAAATTCTAAAAGTATTATAAATTTTATTCCAATGTGAAAGTGTTTATGTTTAAATATTGAAAAAATATGTTTGTAACATTTTTAAAATTAACATGTATTTTTTTTATTGTGAAAATTTACGCTTCATAACCAAATTTTAAAATGTATAAAAAGAGAAATATTTGAACGTGAAAAAAGATTAAATAAGTAAAACTCTGATTAACTTTTAAAATAAATTATATATAATAAAAGTAAATATATTATTCAAACTTATTTTATATTTAAGATATTATAATTTATTATTCTTCTCAATCAATTTTTAAATTTATTTATAAATAATTTTAAAATATTAACTATATGCTATGTCAACTCTATAATTTAATTTTATATAATCTAAATTTTTTATATTATTGTAAATTGGGTTAGTTAATAAAATATTGATAAATTTGATAAAATTTAATCATATAAAAATATAATTTATTACATGATACTACTTAAAAATAATGCAATTTATGCTTACTTAAGAAATTAAAATAAAATATCTAAATATAATTTACTAAACTAAAATAAAAATATCAACTTAAAAAATATATATATTTAGTTAAATAGATAACTTTTGAGAGTTGACACAATTGTAAAATAAAAAAATAAAGTAAGATGATAGAAAGAATTATTGACAAGTTTTCAAAATTTTGATAAAATTACTCTTTTCGTCCCTTAACTTTAAGATAAAATTCACTTTCGTCCTCTAACTTTTTTTTTATTCATTTTAGTCCTTTAACTTTTAAAAAAAAATTAAATAGGTTATTTTTCAATAAAGACCCTAACTCTGTTAGAAAGTTTTGTTATTTTGTACTACATGTATTGTGTGTTACTGTTCATCGTCTTTTTTCTCAGATTTGTGATCTGTTTTCGGCAATTTTTCTTCGTCCTTCTTGGTGTGTTCCTCAATGGCAAATTGGGAATAATTGGACCTTTAGGGTTTGGACTTTGGGGAAATTCAAAATTCTAAAAGAATTGGAGAAGAATTATTCACAATAATTGAGTCTTTGATTGATTGAGATTAAATTGAAAAGAAAAAAGTGCAAAATTGAGTTATCAAAAGGAAAAATTTGAGTTTCCTTATTAGGGTGAATGAAAATGGAAAGAAAATGATGTGATGATAATAATTAAAGAAATAAAATACAGAATTTGTAAAAATTAGAAAGTTTAGGTTTCTTTTCTAGTTGAAATTCGAATTTGGGGAAAAAAAGAAGGAGAAATTAGGGTTCAATCATGTGGTAATTGGGGAAAATTGGGAAGGGAATGAAAGAATCACTCTTTCACTAGGTTAGACATGCACAATCAAAGGGGGTGAATATCCTTTGATAAACCTAGGTTCTTGAATCACTCAAGAAATCTAGAGAATCACTCTCTAAGTTTGCCAAGGCTAAATTTTCATTCAAATTGATCATGCATACAACTTTGTGCCACCCACCCTTAAGCAATGAGTTAGTGGTTGAAATTATTACAACAATAATGTTCATTCAAAGTCCCATTAAGCTCCACTCATCAAGCTTCACTTAATGACCATTTTGAACCGAAATAGGCAACTAAAAGCACCACTCTCTCTCTCTCTCTCTCAAGAATTCAACCAATCAACAGATGGTCCACCTAGGCATTATTCAGCTCATAATTAATTAAAATAATAACCCTCAATG